GTTTTTTGTTTATTTTTATCTATGCAAGTATAGAGACAGTTGAACCCACTACAGATATTAGTACTGTAGCCAAAGAGAGCAATAGAACTAAAGGTACTATTATGCAATTTTTGAACAAAGACAATTGTGCCTGCCTACGCAAGTGTTACAGGTTTTTAATTGTTATTATTGACTTATGTAGAAACAGAGAGAGTTATACGTACTGCTAAGGGGAGTAAGGGAAGTGTTAGAACTAAAGGTATTAATATACTAGCTTTTTATAAATGTTGATGTAATATAGAAACAACTGTAAGTCCTGCTAATGCAACTACTGCTAAGAAAAGTGCTAAAGGTGTCACATAATTCTTTTATTTTATTTTATTATTTTTAATATAGAATCAGCTGATTATCCTACTGCAAAGAAGAGTGTTCAAAGTATACAATAATTTATTTTGCTATTAATTTTATAGTTTATGCTTAGGTGCACATAGAGTTGATACAAGAAGGAGTGTCAGAACTAAACGTAGTAAAATTTTAATTATTATTATCTTTATTATTATTGATAATTACAGAAATGGAAAGAGTTGGACAATGTACAGTGAATAATGGTATTGCTAAAGGTATTTATTTTTAATTAATAATTTATGACGATTTATTATTCAATAATACAGATGCAGTCCCTCCTACTACTTATGCTACCAAAAGGAATGTTAAATCTAAAGGTAAAGGATAACATCTTGACATAGTCTAATTATACTACAATAATAGTCAAGTCTGTTTGTTCCCTAAAGCAATGTTCACATCCTGATGAGTCTAATTGGGTCTTTTGTTGCAGCTGCAACCAGTGGTATCACTGTTATTGTTATAAAATTTCATTTCAAAAGGCGAAATCAAAAAACTTTAAATTTACATGTAACAACTGTAAATAATAACTAATTTTAATAATAATCAATAATGTTAGGCGTGTCCGTTTATTGTAGAAGAAGTTAAATATTTTTTATGGTAGCTGAGTGTACCTAAGAAGCCGGCTGTGTGATCCTTTTTGAAGAAGACAGTCAGTACTAAAGTTCTGGTGGTATAAAACTATTCTTCGAATAAAGTTTGCTTCGTTGTGGTTAAGTGACGAAAATTGAGTGAACTCGGCCGATTATCGTGTGAATCCACGAAGTGTGTTTAGCAAGTTATATCTTTACAAAGAAAGAAGGTGATGCTTTGATTTTTACCATG